ACACTCACAGCTTGTACCTGGCTGAGCACCTTTGAAACTTTCAAATCCACACTCACAGCTTGTACCTGGCTGAGCACCTTTAAGAAATGATGGGACATACACTGAGTGTGAAGTGTGATAAATCACAGAAAACCATCAGCGTGCTTCATGGAGGCACTACTTAATTTTAACTAAGTTTATTTCGAGGAAAGTACTGGGCTGGCAACACCTTGAGCTGACAATCCTTCACCAGCCTCCCACACTGAAGGACCATCAAACCAGACTGCACTGTGCTCAAAAACGTGAGAGGATAATTCAACATCCACATCCCTTGGTGCTCGTTTTAAGCAGTTTTTGGAGATCAAATTATTTTGTGCTAATAAAAATTAGTTAGGTTTTAGACAGAGTTAATCTGAGTTGTGTTTGCTCTAACATCCAACGAACGTTTCCATTTCTCAATCAAAATGCTTGGCTGTGCCTGGCACCACAAGCAGTGTATTGCAAAGCCCCAGTCCCTGCTGGACTAAGCAGTTCTCTGCTACTCCCCTGCCCAGAGTCATTCCAACACTGAGCTGTCAGAAATGAACCCCCAACCTGTTCTGAGGAGGAACAAAACGCAGAAATGCCTGCAGGAGAACCACGTAAATCCTACTGCTCCCCCACGCCAGCAATTATTAATATATTATTTACCTTTTGTCTGCAAAGTGGCTCCTTTTTGTTTTCCTCAGCTTTGACCTCTTGTTGAGCAGCTTCTTTGGGTGTATTTACTGCTAACACATCGTTGATGGTAGAACCCACAACCATTATTTTTGCTCCATTTGTAACTTTGATTTCCCGCAAGGTTTTCTCCTCTGGCAGAAGTCCCTTGAACATAACTTTCTGCATGGCCGGCGGGAGGCCTAGAGACAAGCACAGCGATTAGGAGGCGGCAGGGCGGCCAGGGCGGCGCGGGGGAGGCGGCGGCGGTCCCGACAGACCTGTGAGCGAGTGGATCTTCTGCTTCAGCTCGGCTCCCGTGCTGTCCAGGCAGAACTTCACGTCGTACTTGTTCTTGTTCCAGATCACCTTCAGCTCCACCAGCTCCCGCCCGCTGTCCTCGTCGCCGCCGTTGCTGACAGACGCCTGCGGGGGCTCCCGGCGCTCCTCACCCTCCGGAGACCTCCCCGCCGCCGGCGAGTCGCCCCCTCCGCCACAGCCCAGCGGCAGCTCCTGCGCCTCCGCCTCCATGCCCGGCTCCTCGGCACCTGTGGCGAGCGGACAGGAAGATCCCGGCCCGTGGGACGCCGCCCCGGCCCGGCCCCGCTCCAGCCCCCGAGTGCCGCCCGCAGCGCGCCTCCCGGCCCGGCCCGCCGCCCCCTGCACCGGCACCGCGGGCTCCCGGCACCGCGGGCTGTGAGCACCGGCGGCTCCCGGCACCGGCGGCTCCCGGCACCTCCCGGTACCGCGGGCTCCCGGCCGCGCTCGTACCATCGGTGGCGGCAGCGGCGGCAGCCATGATGATTGTGTACAATCCGCCGCGGGGCACGCCGGGAAACGCCGCCGCCGCCGCTGCTGGGCCGCGCCGGCTCCTGTAGCCGCCCCCGCCCGCCTCTCAGCGTGGGGGCGGTGGGACCCCCAGATCGCGCCCCCGCAGCACCAGCCGCGCCGCGCCGGGAGGCGGGAGGGGCGCCGAACCCTCTGCTCAGCGCCCCGGGAACCGGAATCCTCCCGCGCTGTCGGGCCCGTGGCAGTGGCCGCGGTCCCCTCGTGTGACAGAACGAAGTGGGTGGCGGCGCCTTTAAGGGACGCCCCGCCCTCGGTGGTGACGCGTGCGGGGATTGGCTGCCGCGGCCAGGCGGAAGCGGCGCCGCGGCCACGTGGGCGCGTGGCGGGATGGCGCGAGCTCTGCGCGCGCTGCGCTTTGCGGTGGCACCGGGACAGGGACAGGGACAGGGACCGGGACCGGGATCTGGATCTGGCCCCGGCCCTGGTCCTGAGCGAGGACCGCGGGTCCGGTTCGGGCCCAGCCCCACAGGTAACCGATCCCTCGGCAGCCCCGCCCCTGCCCACCCCCGGGGCTCTGCTGCGGTGGGGGCGGAGTTTTGGGTTGGAAAACATCAGTTCGGACTCTCGGGGGTTGTATGTGGCGAGGGAGGCTTCTGGTTCCCCTGTATGCTCCCGCCGGAGCTCCCGGGCTCGCCCTTCCAGCGTGTCCCGGTGTCCTCTGGTCGTGCGGGGTCACTGTCGGTGTACCGTGGCAGTGCTGTTCTTGGCATGTGCCAGCTTACAAGGGATTTCCAGGTCATTTCAGGGACTCTGTTCCTGGGAGTCGTCGTCATTTTCACAGCCAGTGTCCCCGGAGCTGTGTTCTGCGGTGCCTTGGTGACGCTGCCATCGCAGGCAGCATCCACCGCCCTTCCAGCTCACATTTAGAACTCTCCCCTGGGTCTTCCTTGTGACCACCTCCTCTGATTTCTCCACGATTACAGGTTTTCTGCATTTAGGTGGCCTTAGGACTGCTTTGTACAATTATATCTTTGCCAAAAAACACCGAGGGACTTTTATTTTAAGAGTGGAGGATACAGATCAGAATCGGGTGGTGCCCGGAGCTGCAGAAGGAATAGAAGATATGTTGAACTGGGCAGGTATTAAGAAACATCTTTCATTTTTCACCTACTGAAACCTCACCTTTCTTTTAGAGGCTAACAGTGCTCAGCTGGTGGGCGGGTTTGACTCTGCCTTTGTGCTGTTTTGGCAGCCCGGCTGTTCACCTGCTGCCGTGCCTGTGTTGCAGGTATTCCTCCGGACGAGAGCCCCGGGCGTGGCGGCCCCGCCGGGCCCTACGTGCAGTCGCTGAGGCTGGAGCTGTACGGGCAGGCCAGCGCAGCACTGCTGGCCAGCGGGGCTGCCTACCGCTGCTTCTGCAGCCCCCAGCGCCTGGAGCTGCTGCGCAGGGACGCTCTGCGCCGCCAGCAGACCCCGCGGTACGTGTCCTGTCCCTGTGCCCCGCGGGGCTGGTGCGTGTCTGTCCCTGTGCCCCGCGGGGCTGGTGCGTGTCTGTCCCTGTGCCCCTCGGGGCTGGTGCGTGTCTGTCCCTGTGCCCCTCGGGGCTGGTACATCACTGTCTCTGTGCCCCTCGGGGCTGGTACATTCCTGTCCCTGTGCCCCTCAGGGCTGTACCCTTGCTCAAAGCCTCGAAGCAATGGGATTTTGCCTCGCTGCCCCTAGGGAGGGAAGGCACCCAGGATGAGGTGTTGGTAGTGCGTAGTGGGCAGGTTACAGCTAAAATTCAGGTGTCTGCTTAGAGCTTTGGGCATGTAAAAATGACTGATGGTGTTGGCCTTTGTTGTCATTTCCCAAAGATATGACAACAGGTGTCGGCACCTGACGCCCGCGGAGGTGGCCCAGAAGCTGTCCCAGGGCCTGGACTGCGTCATCCGCTTCCGCCTGGAGAGGGGCGTGGAGCCCTTCCAGGACCTGGTCTATGGCTGGAACAAGCACGAGGTGGCTGAGGTGGAAGGTGACCCCGTGATTCTCAAGGGGGATGGCTTCCCCACGTACCACCTGGCAAACGTGGTGGATGACCACTACATGGGCATCACCCACGTCCTGCGTGGCACCGAGTGGCTGGCGTCAACCTCCAAGCACCTGCTTCTCTACAAGGCCTTTGGCTGGGAGCCCCCTCAGTTTGGCCACCTCCCCCTGCTGCTGAACAAGGATGGTGGCAAGCTGTCCAAGAGGCAGGGGGACATTTTCCTGGAGCGCTTTGCTCGGGATGGCTTCCTGCCAGAGGCACTGCTGGACATTGTCACCAACTGTGGCTCGGGGTTCACAGGTAACACCACTGCCAGCTCACTTCATGCTGGCTTTGTAGCATGGGCTGGGCTTATTTTGATAGCTGAGAACTTTGTCAGTGTTTGAAGAGGTCAGGGAATGGGTGTCACGTAACCAGTCACTCACTGGGGTGCCACCAGACCTTCTGCAGAGCTCCTGTGGAAGGAGCTGGAATGGTGGGAATCTTTCTGCTGCTGTGCAGCCATTAAAATTGAGTCAGGTTCTTAATGGGTTCTCCTTGGCAAAACCTTCACTTCAAAACTGAGAAACTCTGTGAAGTGTTGGGAGAACTTGCATTCTGTGGTTAATAATTGCAATGTTGTCTGACACCTGTGCTACCTTTCCTTTAACCTGACAGACCACGAGGAGTTGAGTCAATGTCTCCTTTTGTGCTTCTTGCTGTGTGGGGATCACAAATTAACTTGTGTTCTGAGAACTCTGCCTGGGAATGAAATCTTCCTTGGGCAGTGCAGCCTCCTGGCTGAGTGTGACCTCTCTTTGACTGATTGAGGGGAGGTGTTCTGCTGAGGGAGGTGACAGAAGCCAAGCAGAATTCCCCAAAGCAGCATTCCTTGTGTGCCTGCTGCCAGTTCCTTCCTGTGCCTGCTGGGGGATGTCCCTGCTGCTGCTGGCACTGCACAGGTGTCTGTCCTGTGTCACCTTTCCTCAGTGTGCTGCTGGCCCAGCCCCGTGCAGTGAGGAGAGCTCGTTGTTCAGAGCCCTGTGATTCCCTGTGGGTTGTGTTCCAGAGAAGCAGATGGGGAGGACTTTGGAGGAGCTGATCTCCCAGTTTGAAGTGGGCAGAATTACAACCCATTCTGCTCTCCTGGACCTGGAAGCGCTCCCAGAATTCAACAGGTAAAAAATTAGGGGTAGCTTTAAAATGTAGTAAGCACCAAGTTCAGTGAGAATTTATTTCTAGCTCTTGGCTTGGCTCCCATTCTGTGCTTGGACACTGGGGTTGGCAACAATGAAAGTCTAGGCAGAAGGTGGGTGTAGCTGGGAGGATCTAAAGTCTTAAGTTTATAACCTAAGAAAATAACATCTAAAAAGAGTTAACATTTCCAGAAGGTTCTTCTGCAAGTGCTGCTAGGACATTGTGCTGCTAAGAGTAGCCTCATCATCAGTTCCCTGTGGGGCACCAGAGCTAAATGCTTCTTTGTAGAGTGTCTGACTGTGGTTTAGTGTTGCTTTTCTAACAGTTCCACAGTTCTAGCTCAGTTGGTCAGAGCACAGTGCTAAGAATGCCAAAGTCTTGGGTTCAGTCCCCAGATGGACTATTCCCTTAAGAGCTGGACTTGGTGATCCTTGTGGGTCTCTTCCAACTCAGAATATTCTGTGATTTCTGTGAAGGGTGGTGGGGATGATCTGATGTAGCCCCAAGCAATCCAAAAGCAGGGCTTTCCTCTTGCAGGGTTCACCTCAGCCGTCACATTGAGAACCAGGGGCTGCGCCAGAAACTCGTTAGGGAGCTGCAGGGGCTGGTGGAGCTCGTCCATGGGGACCAGCAGGTGGATCCAGATCTTCTGGAAAATGAATATGTGGAGCGAGTCCTCCTGCTGAGAAAAGTATGAGTAGTGGCAGAGCACTGTGCCAGCATCCTCCAGGCTGAGGAATTGCTTCCTCCACAGCACAGCCCTCTGCCCTGCCAGCTTTGCTTTCTTTCCCCAGGGTCACATAAGCCTCCTGAAGGATCTGGTGTCCAGTGATTACTCTTACCTGTGGGTCAGGCCCTCAGTGTCCCGGCAGCAGCTACAGACAATTTCTGCAGAAGTAGATGAAATAGGAAAACTGGTCATAGGGTAAGCGTGCTGCTGTCTGGCAGCAAAGGCTCCTCATCTCTGAAAATTGTATTCTTAAACAATCAGAATTACTGCTTTTTCTGTGGTGTTCCAGGTCTGTGGCATAACTTTGTAGTTTAAACTTTCTCTTTTGAATAAGCTCTGCTTCTGGTGAGCAGAGGGAGCGCCCTGGCACAGGGCAGGGGTAAGGGATAGGAATCCTGTGGTTTTCATGTCCCAGAGTGTAAGGACACCTTCTTTCCTAAAGGCTCATGACAAGGCAGGCAGCTGCCTTCACTGTGGAGGAGTTGAACAAAGCCCTGAGAAGTCTCCAGAAGCAAACCAGAGACACCAAGTACAGCAGCATGATGCAGCTCCTCCGCTTGGTGCTCAGCGGGCGGCAGGTAAAAAACAACTCTGAGATTACCTGCAGTGTGCTCTGGTGCTAATCCTTCAGCTCCCTCTGACCAGGGCTGGCATTTGCCTTCAGGAGGAGAAACCCCAAGGCTTTGTTTGAGCTGCTGCTGACCCCCCTCAGTAACTGTGTTGGTTCAGTCACCACAATGCAGACCTGTGCTGGGGAGGGTCCCATGTGTTCAGTGGCTCCTTCTTGTTTGCAGCAAGGCCCGAGTGTTGCTGAGATGATGGTGACTCTGGGAGCTGAGGAGGTGTGTGGCAGGATCCACAGAGCACTGTCCAGCTGACACAGGACGGCGGTGACACTCACCTGGATGGTGCAGGTGGCACCTGCGTGACCATTTCTGATCAGAGCTGGGCTTTAGGCCAGGCAGGTGCCTGTGCTGGTCCCACGTCTGCACAAACCTGCACTGAGCACAAACCACTTTGTTTGGGAGAGGAACCAAGTCCAGATTCAACTCCATCCTGCTGTCGCCTCGTGCAAGGAGCCTGGTTTGCAGGGTGGGAGGAGAAGACATGAATCAGCATTTAAATTCAGATCATGTGGACAGAAAGTAACTGAACTTCTGACAGCAACAGATCAGATTCTTTTTGGAGAGGGGCTTGTGGTCAGGGTACCTACAGCTACAAAACACAGTTCCCCAATAAATGCAGTGGGGGGTATTTATATATGTATATATAAACAGATGTATATTATATCTGCTGCCCTCTTAGCTGCCCTGGTGTCCTACCAGGCTGAGGGAGCTGCTCAGAGGGCAGTTTCCTCCCTGTGCACTGTCATGCACGTGATTCTGCTAAAAATATCCCTGATCAGGAGATGAGGATGTTTTTTCCTCTTTTGTCTGATGCCCTTTTAATTATTAAATTAATGTGGTGACTTGGATTCTGTTCTCACTTAATACTCTGCATGCTGCTGAGGGGAGGAGCTCGGAGGGGTGTTGGTGGTGGTGGGTGTTGTGCTGAGCCCACACCCACCATGAACACTTTCATGCCACGGGCACTCAGGTGGGCTGATCATGGACAGACCACGGACACTCAGGTGGGCTGACCACGGGCACTCAGGTGGGCTGAGTACAGACAGACCACGGACACTCAGGTGGGCTTACCATGGACAGAGCACGGACTCTGACGTGGTTGCCCACGGACTCTGACGTGGTTTCCCATGCACTCTGACGTGGTTTCCCATGGACAGAGCACAGACTCTGACGTGGTTGCCCATGCACTCTGACGTGGGTGCCCATGCACTCTGACGTGGTTGCCCATGCACTCTGACGTGGTTTCCCATGGACAGAGCACAGACTCTGACGTGGTTGCCCATGCACTCTGACGTGGTTGCCCATGCACTCTGACGTGGTTGCCCATGCACTCTGACGTGGTTGCCCATGCACTCTGACGTGGTTGCCCATGCACTCTGACGTGGTTTCCCATGGACAGAGCACAGACTCTGACGTGGTTGCCCATGCACTCTGACGTGGGTGCCCACGGACTCTCACGTGGGTGCCCACGGAGCCGTTTCCTGCCGGGGCAGAGCAGACGAGCCCATGGCTGGCAGCGGGCAGCTCGAGCGCTGGCTCAGTGAGTGGGGCTGGGGCTGGGGGTTGGCTTGGCTCTGCTGCCTCTTCCAAACTGGGTGGGCACTGGAGCAGCTTCATCTTGTGGGGAAGGGTGCATTGCCCCTACAGAACCCTTGTAGAGTGATGTGGGTGCTGTCTTGCTGCATCTGTCCTTTGCTGCATCTGTCCTTTTCCCCATCTGTCCTGTCCATCCTCACCTCCCAAAGCTGCCTGAGAGACAGACTGGGGAGTGGATAAAACAAAAAAAAAACCCCTTTTTTTCCTTAATTTAGCTGTGTAAGAGTGTAAACTGCCTGTGTTCCAGCACAAGTTTTGCAGCAGTCCCAGGAGAGCTGCTTGTAAATGGTTTTTAAGTTCCTCTTGCTAAAAGCAACATCTGCTGTTGTCAGGCCGTGCTTGACTTTAAGTGTGTGCTTGGGACTGTTTTTAGGCAGATTTTAGTAGCAGCTGTTTCCTGGATATCCCTTTCTGCTACAAAAAGCTCTGGAGCAGTGGCACAGCGAGGTCTGAGCTGCTTCCTGCCCTGAGCACTCACTGACACACTGAGGCCAGGCTTTCCTTCTTCCTCTCTGGTTTTTCTCCCTCTCTAAGATGAGGCCACTGACCCGAGTGTCTGCGAGGAAAACTGGGAATGTATCCAGCGGTTCTGCGAGCAGGTGAACGCTGACACGGAGGGGTAAGGCAGGCACGGAGGGGTAAGACAGACAGACAGAGGGGTAAGGCAGACAGACAGAGGGGTAAGGCAGGCACGGAGGGGTAGGACAGACAGACACACAGCTCACACAGCTCTTTGTGTTCCCCAGGCTGTCTCTGGCTCTGCAGGAATGGGGAGCTGGGGGGGCTCACTGGACTCTGCTGCTCCAGGAAGCAGAACTGAGTTGGGAATAGGAGCTGGGAATAGATGTGTGGCAGTGTGACAAAGGGTCATGTCTGGGAATGGGCTCTGGCATCAATTGCTGGAGCCCAGCAGGCAGCAGGTCCTGCTGGCCATGCCCTCAGCAGTCTGCACAAGGATTCCTGCTGTGGGGTCCTGCAGGGAAGCCCCCAGGGAGCTCAGCCTCAGCTTTTCCTTCCAGAGGGGTGCAGGATCTCTGCTGAGAATTCCTCACCTTCCAGCTGGCAGTCTGGGCTCTGTGGGAAGTAGCAGGGACTAATTAAACGACTGACATGTCAAACCTTAATGATGATTTCTGTGTTTAGAGTTCAGAGCTCATAGTCTGGCACCCAGCTCGTGCCCAGGAGCTGGCACAGGCTGCCCTGGCTGTCACCTGCAGCTGCAGAGAGCCAGCTCCCCTGGTGCCTGCCCAGGGACATCCCCAGCTTGTCCCTGCTGCTCCCTCCCAAAGCACAGCCCCTGGCACGGCTGGAGGGCAGCTCTGGGGTCACCGGGTCACCCCCTGTGTGTGTGTTTGTGTCCCTGGCCAGCCGTGTGCCAAGGAAGGGGGTCTGTCTGTCCTGCTGTGAGTCCAGAGCTGCTCTGCTGTGCAGACCCAACCCAGCAGCGTTTGTTTTTCCTGGGAACTCGTGCATGTGTCACTTGCTTTGCTCTTCCCCAGCCCGTTGTCTGCTCTGAGGCTCCTGGCACACAAAATCCAGTCCCCTCAGGAGGGGGAAGCTCTCCATGCCCTCACAGTGAGTACTTCCATCCCCACACACACACAGCCCCTTGGAAATGGCAGGGAGAGCAGCAGTGCAGACAGGATAGCTCTCTGCTCTCTCCTCCTTTTCTCCCAGATGTCGATGTCTTTCTCTTTCTCGTGGATGCCTCTCCCTTTTAACTTTCCCTTGCACAAGGAATACAGAAACCAGGGCACAGGGGAGGGGGTAACTGCTTCTGTTCCTCCCCAAGTTGCTCTGCCGAGGTGTTTCAGTGGTCTGCAGCTCTGGCAGTGTGAGCTGTGTCCCACCACAGAGGAAACAGCTCAAAACTTGTTAGTGATGGGTAGAACAGAGCAGGGGTGGTCTTAGATATGCTGCTTAGGAAGGTTGGATGAAGGAATAAGACATGTTCTTGCTGCATGACTTTCTCAGTGTCTTGTGTTGGTGAATGCAGTGTCAGAAAGTTCTTAGATTTAGTAATATAATGACAAAAGTTTTTGAAAGCTCCCCAAGCCTTGTGTGTTCAGTTCCTGTCGGTAACATTTTGTTTTCTGCAGGTGCTGGAGACCTGTGTGAACAACTGTGGTGGCAGATTTCACAGTGAAATGGCAAAATTCAGGTTTCTGAATGAGCTGATTAAAGTGCTTTCCCCAAAGGTTGGTGATGGTGGTTACAGGGTGTTTTGGGATAAGAAATGCAGCTCTGCTTTATCAGAGGCAGTGGGATCTTCTGGCCATGCTCCTCTTCATTGGGATGGGCCTGAAACACCCTCTTGGCACTGCACCCATCAATTTCCCCTTCTGGTGGGTCCTGCACACATTTACCACTGGTGCACGTTTCATTTTCCATTGCATCAGCCCGAGGGCAGAGCTGCAAAAAGCTGATTTCAAAGAAATGCTCACCTGAAGA